CAAACAAGAATAATTGAGCACCTTGTCTCAAAAAAAGGGGCCTGCTTATGGGCCTGAGGCTAGGGTTATACTGCCACCTTGTGGTTAAGCATGGAGCCTGCTTTTAAGGAAAAGGGCCAGTGGTTTTACTAATGGTGGTGGTCAATTGAATCACTAACATATTAATATTCTGGAATGAATGCATTTTAAAGAATAAAAATAGATTATGGAGCTTTCTGTTCAAAGTAAGTAACCAAATCCATTTCTGTAAGGATCTTCCAAAGAGGTCATGTAACTGCAAGCACTCACCTTTCTCAGAGGACAAGCTCCCAAGGTAACCCAGTTATATAGACCTGGAGGCCCGGGAGAGCTCCACTGTCTCTTTCCAGCAGTTCTACCCAGTTGTCCTAAAGAGTCTCCAACTGTAATTTCACATCAGGGAAGCCAATAATGAAGACTTGTAAAATGGAAAGAATGGTGTATAATTATTATGCTCCATTCTGATTGCATTAATATTACTGTCTTCTGCATCTCTTCTTTTTAGAGCATTCAGGTGCCATGGTACAATAATATTGTCAAGGTACGATAAAAATGAACAGTCCCCCTTTGTCCTGTCCTGTGTTGAACTCAAAAAAATAATTGTACTTGTGGTCTGAAAACGTGTGTGTGTGTGTGTGTGTGTGTGTGTGTTGGTACTGGGGCTTGAACTGAGTGTCTGAGTAGATATTTTTGCTCAAGGTTGGCACTCTACCACTTCAGCCACATCTCCACTTCCAGCTTTTTGTGGTTTATTACAGATAAGAGTCTTACAGACTTTCCTGCCTGGGTGGGCACCATACCACAATTTTCAGATCTCAGCCTCCCGAGTAGATAGGATTACAGGCATGAGCCACCTCGCCGTAGCTGGCTAAAAACTGAACTATTTTTTTTCTTTTTTTTGGGGGGGGGTCCAGTCGTGGGGCCTGAACTCTGGGCCTGAGTGCTGTCCCTCAGCTCTTCAGCTCAAGGCTAGCACTCTACCACTTGAGCCACAGTGCCACTTCCGGCTTTTTTCTTTTTGCTTATGTGGTGCTGAGGAATCGAACCCAGGGCCTCAGGCATGCAAGGCAAGCACTCTACCACTGAGCCAACTTCCCAGCCCAAACTGAACTATGTTTAACAATAGAATTTTTTAAAGTTCAAATCCATAATATCCCCCTTCCCCGGCCCTCTCTGGGCTCCACCCTCTTCTCTGCCATGAAGATAAAGCACATGAGCCACACATGTGCACCTACACTGCAGTCCAACTACATTGCAGACAGGGAGATGGCAGAAGACAGTTTGGGCTCCATTGTAGGTGAGCCATTTAAAGAGCCATCCAGAGAAGGAAGAGACAGAGAATTTTACAAGCAAATCCAAAGAGAAATGGACAGAGAATAAAATAAGAATCATCCTACCAGGATAGCTGCTTGAGAACTCAAAGTCACCAACAAATCCTTACACACACACACACACGCGCACACGCACACACACACACACACGCGCGCACACACACGCTGCCAGGCCCCTGGGATCTGGCAGGTTATAGCTGCTGTGGATACTTCTGCCCTGTTGGTCCTGGTATCACCACCCCCATTGCCAGGGCCTTGCTTCTCCCACACAGGGCCACTGCGAGACATCGGAGGTAGATGTCTTCCAAACATGGCAGCACACTGTATCTCACGCAGAAACCAGAACCGGAACATTATTCTCCTCATTGTGAGATTTTTGTCTGGGGTGAGAACTTTCTGGAAAAGTATGTCTCTCAGTAGCTCTTCAGAAAGTTCTAATTGAAGGGGAGTAAGCTGGCAGTTTTGACACAATTTTTCCCAACCTCTGTTCAGTACCTTATAATAATCCCCTTTCATGCATTCTCCCAGCACTGTCCTAATAGACTGACACCCCGCATGCTTCATTCTATTCCACCAACCTCCTCACGGTGAGGGAAAGAGGAGAGAGGGAAGATGAGAAACATACCGAGAGACGGGCCAGAGATCCCATGGCAGGCTTGCTGGTGAGCTCTGCCTTTGCCTAATCCACATGGCCAGCTGTTTGCCAAGAACTTCACTCTTCATGCGTGGGTCTCGCATGATTAATCTGCTATGTGAACACAGGGAATACATCCATGCAGAGGATCACTCTTTTGTCTGTAATCCCTAAAACATTTCATGATTTGGTCCCAAGCATAAAAACATATTTCACATGTTTCCATGGGTCGCTAAGATTTAAATGCTTTCCTTTTTTAATATTTGGTATTGTAAAGATACTGTACAGAGGGGTTACAGTTACATGAGTAAGGTACATTTTCTATGGAGCATTGTTACCCCTCCTTTGTTTTTCCCCTACTATCCCTTCCTTCCCCACCTCCCCAGCTCCTCCTGCCTCCCCTTCCCCCCCATCAAGTTGTAAAGTTCATTTTCAACATTATTGTTACAATGGGTCAACCTGTATCCTTGTTTCAGCATTTTGTTTTTTTAATGCTTTCTTCAATGTATTTTAATAACTGGTTGTGGTAGCAATTTGTAGAGTCTGAGTGGATGATTCTGTGCATCAACAAATCAGAAGACAAGGCTGTTTTCATTCAGTTATAGCTGCAACCAATAGAAGCACCACATAAACAGAAAAAGCTGGAAGTGGCACTGTGGCTCAAGTGGTAGGAGGGTGCTAGCCTTGAGCTAAGGAGCTGAGGGACCGCACCCAGGCCCAGAGTTCAGGCCCCACAACCAAAAAAAAAAAAAGAGTCTTTCTGATTTGTCCGCCAAGACTGATTTTGAACAGTGACTCTCAAATCTCAGGCACCTGAGTAGCCTAAGATTACAGGCATGAGCTGCCAGCGCTTGGCTTAGACAATTTCCTTTTTTTTTCCCCTTTTATTTTTTTGTTGGTCCTGCGATTTGAACTGAGAGTCTGGGCGCTGTCCCTGAGGTGCTTTTTTCTCAAGGCTGGCGCTCTACCACCTGAGCCACAGCACCACTTCCGGCTTTTTTTTTTCTGTTTATGTGGTGCTGAGGAAGCGAACACAGGGCCTCAGGCATGCAAGGCAAGCACTCTACCACTGAGCCACAGTCCCAGCCCCAATTTATTTTTTTTTAATATTCAAGTCTTCCTGACATTCTTTTTATCATAAATGTTCTAATTTACATTTCCTTTTTTAAATTTTTATTGTCAAGGTGATATGCAGAGGGGTTACAGCTACATACATAGGTAATGAGTATATTTCTTGCCGAACTTGTTACCCCCTCCCTCATTTAAGAGAGAACATTCTAAACTGAACATTCTCATTTATTAGCATCATAGCTAGAGCAGAGAGCAGTAGCCCCAGCCCCAGCAAGAGCTTCCTGTAGGAAATAAGAGCCTGAGTTGGACATGTCTTTCCTGACTGAGCTCTTGTGATGCTTGAGGCAAGTGATTTCTCTGCTGGGTTCAGCCTCCACATCTGTAAAACAGAGACAGGCAGTCCCGCCACACCATGGCAAATAATTAAATAAGGAAAGCATTTAGAGTTCCTGGCACATACAGGTACTAAAATGTCCTAAGTGGTTGTTTATAAATAGCTCTTATTTATTGCTGAGGGTGTATTCGTAGCACATCTTTCCAGCCATTCATTTTAAAATGCATTTATTCAGTACTCACAGGAAACAGCTCAATGAAAACCAGACCTGAAAACAAAATCTCATGGCTAACTGCAGGCAGGTGAATAAAGGATCCTTCCACTCCATTGTATTGACTTTAAACTTCCTAAGAGGAAAATGGGCTTGGAGAGCTGAGGGGATCAAAGATGACAGTAAGGAACAGATGATACATTGCATGTTTGCAGAAGTGATAGAAAAATGTTTTATACTATTTTGGTATTTTTTAAATGAACCTATACGAACATGTATTTATTTGCCTCCGAGTACTTGGGATCCTTATTTGAAGACATTTAGAATCCATCCCCTCGCTAGGCATAACAGTTCACCATATGAGTCAAGCCAAACTGAGCAAACATGTTCATGAGACCCTCACCTCAAGGAATAGCCGAGTATACTCACACACCCTTGTCATCCCAGTTATTCAGGAAGCTGAGATAGGGAAGATCGTGGTTCTAGGCAAGCCTGCAGGAAAAAAAAAAAAAAGTGACAAGACCATATCTCAACAGAAAAGGCTGGGTATGGTGTCACATGCCTACCATCCTAGCTACAGCCAGAAGTATGAGGATTGCATACTTGGGGATGGCTTGGGGAATAAAGTGAGACCCTATCTCAAAAATAACCAGAACACAAAGGTCTGGCAAAGTAGCTCAAGAAGTAGAGCTCCTGCCTAGCAAACAGGAAGCCCTCAGTTTTAACTCCAGTACCATCAAATAAAATAAATAATTTATCCTCCAACACAGCAAAATGATAAGATATGCATTGTTTCAAACACGATGCTAGGCACTGGTGTTTCCCACTTGACATGTTTACCCCTGACCATGGAGGGAAACCAGCTACAGAGGAGACTGGCCCAAAGCCAGGTGCTGGATCGCATCTGCTTCCTGCACACACCTCCCTGACTTTGTTCTGAGTCCTCATGCCCCCCGGGAATCTAATTACAGGTTGAGCATTTCTTATCCAAAATGCATGAAGACAGAACTAAGCTTAGGGGTTGGAATTTTGTCAGATTTTGGAAGCCTTGCAGACCCATAATGAGGTATCTTTGAGAATTCTTAATGACTTTTTTTTTTTGCTTTGTTTTTGGCCACTGGACAGAAGCATTCGATGGATCTAATGTCCTAATCACACCGGGGACTACTGGTAGGGGGCAGCCCAAGAGGATGTCTCCTGACTGGCTGAGAAGTGAGTTGACCAGTCTTGGGCATGCCATTTTGACTACAGCCTGTCACATGATGTCAGGCATCATGCCAGTGCTCACAAAGTTTAGATTTAGGGGCAATTCAGATTTTAGGTTTTCAGATTAGCTATACTCACTTAACTTCTTCCAGGTTCTGGCACCTTGGAAGTAATTTGCAATGTTCTTCTTTCCAGGACGACTCAGCCCTCTGCCCCCATGTGGCCACCTTTGAAGGACTGACTTCCTCCAGCAGTGGTGCCATTTCCAGCTGTCATCATGGGACCTGCGGAGAGTATGCTGAGCAGTGGGCAAGTGCAGACCATCCTGTGGGCAAGTTTGGCAGCTGTCGCCATGTTCTTCCTCATCGCCTTCCTCATCTTCCTGTGCTCAAGTTGTGACCGGTGAGAGACCATCTGTTATAGCCGGAACCCTACTGCACAGATATTTTCAGACTCCTAAATTCAGATTATGTCTCTCTGTTGCAAAAGGTCTCAAGACATTCTTCACTAAGCAAATATGGATTTCTGTTAATTTTGCTGAGAAAGAATACAAAATGCCCTTCCTATATTTTCAACTCAGAATGGATTTTTTTTTTATAGTGCTAGGGTTTACACTTGCTGGGAAAGAGCCCTATCACTGAGCCATGCTGCCAGACATGTTTTGTGCTGATTCTTTCTGAGATAGGGTCTCCTTCCTGTCCAAACATGCCTAGACAATGATCCTCCTATTTTTCGCCTTCCACCATAATTGTGATGGAAGATACATGCTACCACACTCAGTTTCTTTCAGTTGAGAAAGGAGTCCCATGGATTATTCTTCCAAAGCTGACCTGGAACCAGGATCTTCTCAGTCTCAGCTTCCCAAGTAGCTAGGTATACAAGCAGGAGTCACTGGTGGTCAGGATGAAGTTATTCCTGCTCTTCTCAGCATATCCTTGTCAAAACTTACATTGTCTTTTTCCAGTTGTGAACACTTTGAAATCGAAGTGCTATCTGCACCTGTTTACCACCACTTGGAAGTTACTGAGGATTTCTGTTGTTACATGGCTTTAGAGGGAATATTCCTTATCTAAAATGTGTGACTTGTAATCCTGGCTATTAAGGAGGCTGAGATCTGAGAATCACAGTTCAAAACCAGCCTGGGCAGGAAAGACCATGAGACTCTTGCTTCAATTAATCACTAAAGATCTGGAACAGAACTATAGGACAAGTGGTAGAGCACTAGCCTGGAGCACAAATGCTCAGCCCCAGGACTGACAGGAAAATTAAAATAAAATGTGTGATTTAAAACTGAAGTTTCAGATTACTTTTCCTAGAAGAGAACAATGTTATGAGAGCAATGTAAAATCATCATCGGTGCCTTTTTTATTTCTTTTGGAATTATACTACCTCTCTCCCCTATCTCATGCAAAATGTCATACACCACCTCCTTTAAAAAAAAAAAAAGACATCTTTATTCAGAAAGAAAGAAATTCAGGGTTACCGGGAGTGATTTCTTATAACAGTTGTGATTTCAGTCACAGTTGTGTTACATGCAGCCTTCTGGCATGAGCCATGTGGTTTCATGCTAATGTAGACCCGCCTCTATCTAGCTGTCATCTCATCTTCAGAAGTTGACAAGTGTCATTTAAAATCTGCCATGGCTTTCCATCCTAAAAATCTGTCAAGAGAAGAACTCCAGACTCTCTAACCCCAAGTAGCCCCTAATTTCTGCCTAGCATGTAGCCAGGCTTCCATGGCTGGGCAAGTCCAGTGGCCATGAGGAGAAGGAAACAGGTCAGTACTGGGCTGGCCCACCTTGCTGCCATTACTTATAGTCCCACTAGGTGTCACTGTTGTCTCATACGCAGATGGAATATATTGGTCTACACCCAAAGGCCTTGTGGATTGTCCTGACTAAAAACACTTTCTATTTTTACTTGACTTTTCCATAAACTAGAAGTATATCTGACTCATCCTAAGAGCATGTACTCTTTCTGATGTGCCAAAATTTATATTTTTCTTTGTTCCATTACAGTGTGTGACTTTTAAGTGAGGAGATGAAATAATTGTTTGGATTTCCCCAAAAAAACAATAGAAGTCTTTCTAGAATTCTAGGTATAAACAGCTTCTACTCAAGACCCAGCCTTGGTCCTCTCATGTTCACCCCTTGGAGAAGGGTGCTCACCAACAGGGAACAGTCCTTTGTCAGATTTAACTTCTTCAGACCCTAGACACCTAAGAAGATCTACTGACTGTCCAGTCTTTTATGTTTCTTAAAACAACAGAGATCTAAAGTTTAGCAAGAATTAGGATAGGATAGTGTGGGTTTGATTCTAAAGGACACAGTTGACATTTAAATCAATCTCTTATTTTCCATTTCAGAGAAAAGAAGCCAAGGATTCATAGTGGAGATGATGAGAATCTGATGAATGTGGTAAGTCTGTGTCGGCCTGTCTGTCTGTCTGTCTAACCTCTGTCTGTATGCTTTAAAAGCCACCCATCCAGACAAGTCACCACTAATGATCTGACTGAAACGGGAAGAAGAGAATGTGACCTTCTGTCCATCAGTGTCACCCTGGCTTGCAGACTATGGAGTTGGCCAGGTCAGCTGAGGTCTTCTGAAATGGGGGTGCTTGTGCTACTGGCCCCCACCCACCACAGAGATGCTTCTATTTTGCCTGCCCTATGTGAATCTGAGAGGACAAACAGGCAGATTCAATAGCAGTTGTACTCTCTCAGTTCTGGAGGGCAGAAACCTAAAAATCAAGGTATTGGTTCTCTCTGAGGCTGAACTGGCTCCAGGTCTTCCTACATTCGGATGGTTTGCTAGTGTCCTTTGACCTTCTTTCTCTATGGATGTGTTAGCCCAGTCTCTGCCTCTGCCCTTCCATGCCTCTCTTCCTTTCAGAGTCTAACTTTCCCCTTTGTAAACAAACCTTGTTTATAAAGATACCAGACATACTGGACTGCCCCATCCTAGTGTGACCTCTTCTTCACTAGTGTCATTTAGAGTGATCCTGTATTCAAGGAAGGTGACACTCTGAGGTTCTAGGAGTCAGGACTTGGGCATGAACAAGAGATGACACACTTCCATCTAGAGCAGCTCACCAGACCCAGGACCCTTAATGCCTTAGGTATTGCTGCATTTCCTCAGACTTAACATCATTCAGGGTCCTTATGGGCCCAGGAGCCTAAGGAATCCCTGGTAAGGAGCAGTGGCCGACTCCTGGTCCTGCCTTGTCCTTTGACTCAGTGTCATGCCCTTAAATGGCCAAGCACGCCCAGCAGCTGGAACAAGACTCTGTGCTCAGACTCCTGCCTAAGCTCTAGGACAGTGTGAAAACTAAAGATATTTCCTAGGTAGAACAACATTTCTCAAGGTCAAGCATAGACTGGTTAAGACACTAGGGTAAATGAATCCAACTGTGTTACAAGAGATCCAGCTAGCCGACGTGTTCAGAGTTCACACACAAGCTAGCTCCAGAATATTTAAGAGTCTTGATAAAGATGAAGGGGGAAAAAACATACACTCATTCGGCCTGGCTGCAATCTTGGGTCCATTAGGCATTTAAAGAACTGCATTGAGAACAGTACAGTTCTGCCTATATCCTTAGTGATAACTTCGCTTGGCACATTGTTCCAGGCAGTGTCTACACCTTGTAGCCCTTCAGGAAACAAACTGGCAATGCCACCCTTCCCTCTTAGTGTCCTGTGAGTGTTTGGGAGTCTAGGAAAAGTTTGCAATCTATTTTATTTTATCATTTTTTTCATGAACCCTGGTGGCTTGGTGATTCTGAAAGAGTCTCAGACATCAATGGCATGATCTGATCTTTACCGGTTTTGAGTCTGTTCCCTTCAGATGGCAGTGAGTGACACTTGGCCACATTTGTCACACCTATTATTCAATTTTGACTTGTACTGGAACTTCTGGTCCTCTCCCTGGCTTGAGCAGGAATTGGTGGGTTCTTATTTGTTGATGACCAGGTGGGGTGTTGGCTCGTTTCTCTGAGGTTTTAGGGGTTCACTGTCCAATTGGGAAGGGTTGTGTGAGCCCTTAAATATAGTTACTATTCTTTACTGTACTTCTTATCTTCTTAGAACTGTGGATTGTTTGTTTTTTGCAGCCATCAGACAAGGAGATGTTCAGCCGTTCGGCAACCAGCCTGGTAACAGACCCCCTTGCAAGCAGTGAACAGAATGGAGTGCTCACCAATGGTGACAGTAAGTTCTGCAAAAATACCGCTTCCCACCTGACCTCGTCACGTACGAAAGTACTCTTTTTAAAAATGTAGTTCAGAAATTGGAAAGTGTGTTCTTGCCCCCTCTTTTTAATGTCTAGTTTTAGCTGATAATCTCATGTACATACATATCTAGTAATTGGCTCCTGCATTCCAGTCATTGCTTTAAGATGTATATGTGTGTTAAGTCACTCACCCTAACCCTGAAAGATTACCGTTACCCATAGTAATATCTTTACCACCCACCTCTTCATCCATCTTCACATTTTTCTCTGACTCTCTCACTCCCTCTTTCACTTATAAGAAATTTCCTTCATCCCATCTTGAAGATCCAGCATTCTCTCTCCTCAGGGTCAGCTGATCCTTGATCTACCTGTAACCTCCCCTTTTCTTGTAGTGTAAGGATGAATGCAGCCTCTAGTGGCAGCAATGGGTGGGGTTAACCTCTCTGCCAGTCACAGAGAGGGGAATAATTTCACCAAGAATTTGCAGTCATTGAGCTCCAGGATCTGGAAGTTAGTTTTAGAGAGGATTTTTTTGTTTGCTTGCTTTTTTTGTTTTGCTGGGCCTGGGTCTCATGGACTTTCCTGCCCAGGCTGGCTTCAGACCACAGTGCTCAGATCTCAGCCTCTGAGTAGCTAAGAATTAGCATGAGCCACTAGCTTCCCACTCAGGATCTAGAATTTGAACTAGGCAGTCAGTGTCTTGGGCACATGCTCAGAGCATTCTACATTACAGCCTCTTCACACACACTTTGCTCTCACTCACAGGAGCGGCAATTACATTTGCTTCATGGTTTACAGCTTATGATACACTTTCACCTGAGTGAAAACAGAGTGTGTGGACAGGAAGGAATCACTTAGCAATGAAAGTGGAAGCACCCTTTGCTCTCCGCCTGGTGTCCCTCCCTCCCCCTCATACATGCACAGTCACTTGGCAATGAGCTATAGACAAATCCCAGTGCCTAGAAGGGTGGAAGGGTTTGGGACCCCCCCACAGCGTCCTCCATTGTCTCCTCAGCCCTCCATCCTGTGTTCAGGAAAGCAGTCATTTATGGTTTCCTTAGCTGGGCCTTCTAGGCTCTGCCTCCTTTACCCTCTGGGAGTTCCTTTTCTTCCCTCCCCCACCCCCAGTGTTTCCCCCTTTACTGGTAAGAAAACTGAAGTGGTCAGAATTCATCCCTAAGTCCTCTAACACCAGCCCTGATTTTCTGATCCCTGTGACACAATCAGAACCCCAGGGCAGAAGGCCTTCTCCAGGATGAGGAATGTTCACTGATTCAGAGAATTGACGTACCCGATATCATTTTCCCATGTGCCCTACTATTTCCTACTATTCCCCACCCCAAATATGAGGGACAGTAATGTAAAAACATGATCACCTCTTTACATACCATAATGGCAGGTTTCTGTTCCAATTGCTGAGGCTTCTCCACCAGCCTCAGGCCATTCTTGACACACAGTAGTCACTCTTTGACAACCATTGACAAGAGGACACTGCTGGCTTCACTTGGCATTTCTGTGGTGGTCTGAGAGTTTAACATTTGTCTTTATTTGTTTATATTTGGTAGTTCTGTAGATTGAACTCAAGGCCTTAATCTTAGGAGGCAAGCATTCTGCTACTTGGGCCACACATCCCCATCCTTCTGCTTTCATTTGGTTTTTCAGATAGGGTCTCATACTTTTGCCCATGCCTCAAATTATGACCCTCCTAATCTCTGCCTCCTGAATAGCTGGAATTTCAAATCTGTTTTCCTGGCTTATTTTTGTCTTTTTGTTGTTGTTGTTGTTGTTGTTTTGATTTGTTTGTTTGGCACTAAGACTTGACCTCAGCTCTTTTATTGATGGCTATTTGAGACACACCTCCACTTCAGACTTTTTGATGGCTACTTGGAGATAAGAATCTCAGACTTTTCTGCCCAGGCTGGCTTCAAACAGTGATCCTCAGATCCCTGCCTAAGACTATAGGTATGTCTTATCAGCACCCAACTCCTGCCTTGGTTTTGCTGGCCTCAAACCATTCTCCAACTCCTGAGAAGAAGAATTTCACATTTGGACATAGTAATTTGAGATAGAAATGTAGAAGGCAGGGATGGAATGGAAGAAAAAAAATTTTAAGCATAGATTTGTGATACTTGCATTTTTACCTTGTTGCTTCCTTTATGTCTACCAAACAAAGTAAACTGAGGACAGATGGCTGCCAGCTATTCCTTCCCAGTAGGCCATTGCAAACACACATCCTTTTTTGATGTCCAGCCTCCTACAATTTGGCCCCATCAGTCATCACCTGCACCCTCTCTCACAAGACATGGCTTACCTCAGGCTTACTAAGAGTAATAAAAAGAAATGGCAAGCCAAATTATAGCCAGATCATTTATTACATTTTGTACTGAGAGAGATGCGAAAGGCAGTTTTTAATTAAGTGCTGATCAAGGCCTGGCACCGATGGCTCAGATCTGAAATCCTGGCTGTTCAGGAGACGATATCTGAAAGATCATGGTTTGAAGCCAGCCTGAAGAAGAAAAGCCCAAAAGATTCCATCTCAAAATTAGCAAAAAACTGAGCTAAAGATGTGGTTCAAGTGGTAGAGCACCGACCAATCAAGAAAGCCCGGAGTCCAACCCCAGAACCAGAAATAAATAACATAAAAATAAAATATGATAAAAATGAGAATACCAGATGACTTCAAAATGTGTACCATCTGTAGCCAAATGTCATCTTTTCAAAAGCAAGCATCTGGGTGATGTAACCTAATGTTACGTTATCTGATTGGCTGTGTTCCTTGTTGAAGGAATCATCTTCTACTCTTTCAGTTCTTTCAGAGGACAGCACCCTGACCTGCATGCAGCATTACGAGGAAGTCCAGACCTCGGCTTCCGATCTGCTGGACTCACAGGACAGCACCGGGAAGCCAAAATGTCATCAGAGCCGGGAGCTGCCCAGCCTCCCCCCAGAGAGCACAGTGGACACCATGCTCACCACGAGGAACGTGGACGGAGAGCAGGGCCCGGGCGTGGAAGGGCCTTATGAGGTACTCAAGGACAGTTCATCTCAGGAAAACATAGTGGAAGACTGCTTGTATGAGACTGTGAAGGAGATTAAAGAGGTGACTGCTGCTGCGCACCTGGACAAAGGCCACAGCAAGTCCAAGTCTATTTCTGCCTTGAAAGATCTTCCAGGACCTCCAACTGAAGGCAAAGCAGAGTTTGCAGAGTATGCCTCAGTAGACAGGAACAAGAAGTGTCGCCAGAGTGCCAATGCTGAGAGCATCCTTGGAACTTCCTGTGACCCTGAGGAGGAGGCCCCACCCCCTGTTCCTGTGAAACTCTTGGATGAGAATGAAAACCTGCAGGAGAAGGAGGAGGGAGGGGTAGAAGAGCAAGCTGCACAGGGAGCCAGCGAAACCAACAAGGTGAGCTGTGCACTTCCGGTTCCAGAGCTTTTGTCCTGCCAAGGAGTTTGTTGAATGATGAAAGCTGTTTTAGCATAAGCTGTATTTGGCTCTTTCCCTCTCCAAGGAATAGAATACTGAAAACTCGTGTTTATAAAATATTTCTCTCTCTTCACCTTACTTGGAGAGTTTCCAGTTCCTACATCATGTCTAATTAGGACCAGCTTCTATTTTTACACACTTTGAAGGCTACAAATTATAGAAAGAGACTAGACTCTTGGCCACATATTTTACCTTTTTTACTTATTGCTTTTGCAAGCACTGTTGTGGCCTTGACCTTTCCAGGATCCCAGAAATCAAATCATAGTGATGTGTACAGAGACAGCCAAAACTCATCTGCCTCTGATATTACAGCCAATTGTGTATGTTTTCATATAAACCAATGAAGAGCTTTGTATTCTAAACAATAACATACAACTCTTAAAATTTAGACATTCAGCAAAGCTCTAAAATGTAAATACAGCTTTCTGTGAATGTATGTGTATAACTGAATATCCCAGCCACAATAAACTTTGCATCTCTAGTTGTAAAAGCTTCCTTGGAATTTAGCTAAGCCAAGTCTGCTACAAGCAACTAGTACCTAGTTTTTGTTCTTCACATACACACATATGCACACATACACAAAATCCCCCTCGGGTTCAGATTTTGGTAGGAAGAACAGCATTGGTTGGCCAGTTGTAGCCCTACAACAGTTTTGGAATTCAAAGTGAGGACAGCTGTGGTTGTGTTGATTCCACTAAGGAAGTCTGTTCTGTGACTGCATTCCGCTTCTCCTATCACCCAGATACCAGATGTTGAGAGAACCAATGAAAGTGCTTATAACCTTAATCATCAAGTGAAAAATGCAAGCTGATGTTTTTCCCTTCATATATAGAAAGATAATAAAATCTATTTAAGTTTCTGCTGCCTAACCCAGTGAAGGCATTCTTACCAACAGGCAGGGAAGGTAAAAGGGTCACTTGTCTAACCCTTGCCAATAAGCCATTTTTCAGATTTCATCTTGAAAATGGAAAATGTCCATCTAAGAACCAGATGATCTACTTACAATGTGAGAAGAATGAATAATCCATCATCTTCCATACAAACAACTCTAGTTTTAAGTAACTTAAGAATTTGAAAAGTAAAACATCCATTTATTCATCAAAAAGATTTTAATGAGTACCTATGATGTGTCCTATAGTCGTCTAGGAACTAAAAATATATGAATAAACAAAATTCCCTGTCTCTGGGGAGCTTACATTTTAGTGGGAAGTCATCTACATAAAGTTTAAACTTCCTAAAGAAAGTTTAAAGAAAAAGGGCTGGGGGTGTGGCTCAAATGATAAGAACCTGCCTTTGTAAGCTCAAAGCCAAAAAAAGGAAGGAAGGAAGGAAGGAAGGAAGGAAGGAAGGAGGGAGGAAGGGAGGGAAGGAAGGAGGGAAGGAAGAAAAAACTGATGGAAAGAAAAAAGGAAGGAAGGCATTTGTCTAAAAAAACTTAATAAAAATTCAAATTTAAATTAACTATTAAATAAATTAAATTAAATTTGAATTAAATTTAATTAGATAATTTAAATTAAAGAAAAATTTCCAATTTACTTTAATGGTATTTCAGAGGTGATATAAAGCAGGGTTACCTTTACATACATTTGGAAATAAAGAAAATTTTAAGTTAAAGAAAAATAGAATAAATAAGATTGTGTTTTTTGGTGGTACTGGAGACTGAACTCAAGGCCTTGCACTTGTTAGGCAGGTGCTCTACCACTTGAGTTATACTTGCAGCCCTACAATTTTTAGATGGAGAGGGCCATGGGCAGGGCAGATACAGAGAGAATGCTAGGGACTCGGTACTAGAAATGTTCATTTGACCTCCAATGGACACATCACCTGAGAGCTGGGATGGTGAATGGAGTCAGAGGAAAGGTCAGGGCTGGGTTTGCACATGTAGGTATTATCACAGAAATAAGGTGTGTAAATCTGTGAGATGGCATGCATTCACATGATGGATAAGTGTATTCAATAGGAATTAGAAGAGTTCCAAGAACAGCAGTGTGGAAGAGGAGCCAACAAAAGAGACCAAAGCAGGGAAGGAATTCAGTCAAGTGAGGGGTGTTGGCAGCCCAATAGAAAAAATGTCCATGGCTAAAAGAATGACCCTCAGGGAACACAGCAGCAGACAGGTCAGGAAGAAGTGTCATTGGGGACATGAACATCACTGAGGACTGTGACAAAAACCATCTCCTCAGAATACTGAGGTAGAAACTTTACTAAAGTACATGGTAGAAGAGAAAAATTATCCAACTGACAGTTCTTAAAGAGATTTTGCTATAAATGAGACAAACGATGGAGCTGAGGGTAGGGTTGGTTTGTTTCTTCTTTGTTTTTAAAATGGGATAAATCACAGCCTGTTTGTGTATGTGAAGCAATCATATAGAAAGAGAAAAACTTGCTGTGTCAACAGAGAGGCCTTAGGAGTGTGGCAGGTTTATCTGTGATGAGCGCTAGAGGGAAAATAGTGCACAAGCAAGGGGAATAGAAATTCTTCTACCTTCTTCAGTTTTCTGTAGGAATTGGGAAGCAAAGTCATACATAGCTGAAAGCAAGGCTGGGTGAGGAGATGTTGGAGAAAAGAGAAGATACAGCATGGACTGCGGGAGATCTAGAACTGTACCATACGGTATAGAGCAGCTCTGGGAGCTCCCCCACAGGAGGTCAAGCTTACCAGTGACCATGGGAGGAGCTGAGCATTTAACTATGATCATGGTGATCTATTCTTGCTTGGTGATGGAGAACAGAAAGATACCAAGGAGAACCAGAAAGATAGAAAAGATGGCTGGATCTATCCAGTGATAAAAGACTATTGGAATTGGGTTATAGAAAGAAAAAGCCTGAATAATGAGTGTTGTTCTGAAAGGATTTACTGGGAATTGAGGTGGTAGAGAGGGCTGTAGATTTGGGGTATACAGACAGAGGTCTGTGTACAGGTGGGAGTGAGATTTGTGTGCCATGCACCATCTGTGGTGGAAAAGACAAAAGAGGAACTGAAGAACAAGGTTTGGAAGAATACACATTGGTTGAAATCACCAAAACTTGAGACAAGAAATTTGTTAAAGAGACAATTAGGAAGCAGGGAGACAAATTATTGAAAAGCCACACATCACAGTTGATTCTCCATTAGTTTCAAAGAGTTTCCAGATAACTTTAAGAACCTTTCTGATAATACCTGTAGACATACAACGTGCAGGTATTTGATTAAAAAGCCTTTCCCATCATCAGTTCTTCACAAGTAATCAGTTCCTCGGTGACAGAAATTAAAAAAGTAATCTAAATAATGAGTTTTGTTTATCCGTACCTAAATATGTAAATGTTAAATGTGAAGACATTTCTATGTAATATTGCCAACATAGCCAAAAACCTCATACATACATAGAATGCACATGTTTATTTCTCAGATACCTCACATAATTATTTTGTGTTCCATAAAAATCACTTGAAAGTGTTTTTGCCTCTGTGTGTGTGTGTGTGGTGTGTGTGTGTGTGTGTGTGTGTGTGTGTGTGCATCTGTGTCTGTGTGTCTGTTTTAGGGCTTGAACTCAGGCCCAGGTGCCGTCCATAAACTTTTTGTGCTCAAGTCTGGTGCTCTACACCTTCAACCAAAGGTCCAGTGCCAGATTTTTGGTAGTTAACTGGAGGTAAGAATTCTCTTGGACTTTTCCTGCCCAGTCTATCTTCAAATCATAATCCTCAGTTCTCAACTTCCTAGTTAGGATTACAAATTACAAATTGAAACCATTTTTATAAACTGATATATGGAGACATGTAAAAGATAGTTTGGATTTTTGGCATCAAATGACTTTACTTTGTATGGTTGATTGATAGAGATACAGCTCCTTGTCATACAAATCCCGGGAAGAAGACCCTACTCTCACCGAAGAAGAAGTAAGTATTGCTTTCTAAATAACTAGAAGCTCATGACGTAGAAAGTAGAAAGTGTCCCTTGGAATAAATGCACTGCAATAGTTCCTTTGGTCTAAAAGAGCTGCAATGCTCATTTCAGCCCAAGTTTTTGAAGATTTGGAACCTTGGCACTCACTATATATGGAGAGGGTGACTGGCAGACAGTAAGCCAAAGCTGACAGGATGAACTGGTCAGCAAAGTGCAAGACACTGGCTAAGAAGGCAAGATGCAGCATTTATAGTAAGGAGAGATAAGGAGGAGATGGGAATTTTCAGTACAGGAATGTTAGAAGTCAACAATGAGCTGGAAAATTCCAAACACTGAGACAAGTGGGTGTAGGGAATTTGATCCTGCCCGGGAAATGAAGGAAGAAGGTTTTATGGGGACTTTGAGGTGCAGAGAGCAGACATCTTTAGGAGGTATAATTTCAGGCTGGGGCTATGGTCAGACATTATAGCCAACAAAAACAGTTTTGTATTCTCAAGAACGAGAGCTAAAAATTCACTAGACTGTTAAGAAAGATTAAAAGTTACACATGCATACACACAAAACACACACACACACACATATCAACAAGACAAGGTGCCTCACATGTGGCACCAGCCATGCATGAAGCCCAGGGTTTGATTCCTCAGCACCACATAAACAGAAAAAGCCACAAGTGGTTCTGTGGCTCAAGTGGTAGAATACTAACCTTGAGCAAAAGAAGCTCAGGGACAGTGCCCAGGCCCTGAGTTCAAGCTCCAGGACTGAAAAAATAGAAAAGAAAAGAAGAAACAAAACAAACAAAAATTTATGGAAGCTTTATGTGGGCTTTATGTTGTCTGAGCTGGGTTCAGACAAACTGAATACCTTAAATGATCTAGAATCATATCACTAGAATATGCTAGCATAGTAAACTCCATACCTGTGTAAGACCAGTATGCATCTTTAGCTTCATTAGTGAATTGTTAAAATATGAAGATAATCTCTTGCATTAAAATTTAAGGAACATTTTGCTTCTCCTAGGTGACTTGCCTAACCCCATACATGCTGGGAATGGACTTGCCATGAATCCCTTCTTGCTTCACATTGCTAGAGGTCATTTTTTGTTACTCCTCTCCCTCACTGTCCCAGCTGTTGTCCTTAGCCAAGTCTCTTTAAATGTATCTCTAACTGTGTCACAAACACCTAAGTTCGCTGGGCCACACCTCACTGGAGCACACAATCTCCTCCTGGGTCCCTGGGCAGCTCCTTCAAGTCAGCTTTCTACAGCCAGAGGCACTCTGTTTGGGATTTTAACAAAGGGAAGGTTATAAAGGAAACATGGGAAATAATCCTTTAAATCAACTCTAAGTTCAAGTATATTTGAATATGACTGTGAAAATAATGCTCAATGATACTGATTTTAAAAAATGGAGCTGGGGACTGGTGGCTCATGCCTGTAATCTTAGCTACTCAGGAGACTGAGATCTTGAGGATCTCAGTTCAAAGCCAGCCCAGACAAGAAAGTCTGTGAGCCTCTTATCTCCAATAAACGACTTGAAAACCAGAAGTGGCACTGTAGCTCAAGCAGTAGAGCACTCACCTTGAGCTGAAGAGCTGAGGGACAGTGCCCAAGCCCAGAGTTCAAGCCCCATGACCAACCAAAAAAAAAATTGGAATATAAAATAAAGAACTGCAATTCTCAACCATTCATGTTAGGAAGATTTAGAGAGAAAAGAAGAAGTCTAGAAGTCATTTGTTGCTGTATTATTACAGTGTCAGGTAGCCCAGACTAAAACAGAGGTCTGTGCTTTAAATATGATTGTTCTGACTTGCAAGAATGATGAAGAAAAGCTTTAAAAAGATAAGAAATGGGAACAAGGTAAATAATAAATTGTGAAAGTATCATAACAATATACAGAATGACTGATAATGTTCAGATGAAAAAAAATTTAAAGAGAAAAACAGAAAAGCAGGAGGCTTGAAAAGAAACCTGTCTACAAACTAGAAACAGTCACATAAAATATTCTGAAGGGTTATTAGAAGGGTTGAAAAACTTTTAGTTTAAAAAGAGAGAGAGAGAGGAATGTCCAATGATGTCCTCTGATGCTGGGTCCATTCCAAGAGTCAATTTTGTATTGCTAATTAATGCAAATTAAATTGCAAATAAATTTCCAAGTCTGAAATTGTAAGCAGTGGGAACTTTAAAGATTAACAATAACATTATTGGTAGGAAATAAGGGGAAGGAACTTGAGAAACTGGGCATGGAAGAGCCACCTAGCTTTCCCATATCTAAGTACAGGTGACTCTGTCACCCTTGACCTCACCATTGAAGGGGAAGCATACACTGGCAGGCCACTTCCCCTGGTCACTGTCATATATGGTTCATTCCTTTATAACAGGTCTTTACTTTGTACCTTTTAGGTAATAAATTGCATCATTTCATACCTCACTATGAAAAACAGAGCATTTTCTTTTATTCTTTCTAAATTCATAAAATGATCATTCTTAGGTTGAGAGCAAATCTTCCATTGGGACCTGTAAGGTGAGAATGTAAACTTATTATTCATTACAATAGTCAGAACCACATGGTAAAAGTTTTCTAAAGACTCCTTCTCTGACACAGCCTAGCAAAACTAAGGCACCAGTTGGGAGTGAAAACTTCTCATGCAAATGACCAGTTAACACACAGCAGGCCACCCATCTTTGGAAACTTCTAGGCCAGCTGGAAACCTCACCCACAGTATGTGAGATACGAGAAAGCAGGAAAATGTCCCTCCACACTTGGGAAGCCAGGCATCTGTCAGGAAACATGTTTATTTATTTTCTGGGTTTTAGAATGAATTAATTGCTCTGGTTTTTAAAAAATACAAGGAAAATAGAGGATATATTTTGTTTGTCATCAGGGTTTCTAACAATAAAATAAAACCCTCCAACGATCTCTTAGTTGGTACATTTAATCTATCATTACCTAAGAGTTAAATCCTGCTTGATGTTAGAGATTGTACGTGACAGGTTAGCAAAGCTGTGAAGGTCTTCTCAGAAAAGACCCAGCTCTTCTCCTGGGAAGAAGCAACCATAAGTGGACTCCAAATTTCATTTCTGAGTTGACCAGTTGCACATAAAAATAATTGCTTTTCTTGAGCCAGTCATGATAGTACATACCTGTAAGCCCAGCATTTTTAGAGATGGTAGTAGAAAGATCTCAAGTTCAAGGCCAATAAAGGCTATATAATGGATTCAGAATTAGCCTAGGCAACATAGTGAGATCCTTTCTCAAAACCAAAACAATGGTCCAGAGCAGTGGTCCACACTTGTAATCCTAGCTGCTCACGAGGCTGAGATCTGAGGATCTGCTTTTGAAGCCAGAAATGTCATTCCAACATAAAACTCAAATGACACAGGTGCTGCACTTCCTGAGCTCCACTCCTCCTGCTGTCCTGGGGCCTCCTACAAGTCCCACAGAACTTACTTCATAAGGAATTAAGTGAATCGATTGATCTGCATACAAAGTAAAAAACAATGTCTGCAGTATTCTCTAGTAATATATTCCATCATGAGTTCAGATAATAAAGGCAAATCTTCAAGGGACATACACACACACAGATGCCCGTAAGTGCTAGGTAAGTAGCTTGTGACCAAAACAGGGACAAGGTGGATTTCTCAGTTCTCCCTTTGTTTCCTAGATCTCAGCCATGTACTCCTCAGTAAATAAACCTGGACAGTCGGTGCATAAAGCAGGGCAGTCGCTTAAAGCACCCGAGTGCGCCTACAACTCCATTAACGGATCCCCTCAGCGGTCGCCCTCCTCCTGTAATGACCTGTACGCTACTGTTAAAGACTTTGAGAAAACCCCGAACAGCGTCAGCACACTTCCACCAGCAAGGAGACCCAGTGAGGAGCCGGAGCCAGACTATGAAGCAATCCACACTTTAAACAGAGAGGAAGAAAGAGCAACCCTAGAGACCAATGGTCCCCATGGCCTTGTCCCCAAGGAGAACGACTATGAGAGCATTGGGGACCTGCAGCAATGCAGAGACGTCACCAGGCTCTAGCAACCCAGAGCAGCCAGCTCCACTTCTGTAGAAGACAGGATGTGACACCAGCCTCTCCTTCATATGCTGCTGTAGTGAACTGAAGGCGACTGTGGACGCCACCACTGTGCTCCCAGTTTCTGAGATAGTGAGGTACAGATCCGACTGCTCCCTGAGGGTGCAACCACTTGCCCCCAGGGACCAGCACCCCCCAGCACACCTCAAAACTTTCCCACTTTTGCCCGCCGCAGAAGATTCCATCTATCAGGTTTTATCCGACCAGTGTACAACACTGATCTGTGAGGAAGCCTGTATATCCAGGACTGCAGTTTCTCCACCAGCCTGAAATACTGCCGCTCAAGCCAGGTTCTTCCACTCTTCCATCTGCCCTGCTCCTGATTTAAAATATATGGCATTTTCCACCTTTCAAACTTCCAGTGTTTATGGTTCATTCCAAGGAAATTCTTCCACAGGGCTTGGCACTGGCCTTCAACATAGGTGTGTTAGGATGGTGAGAAACTATGCTTACTGGTTTCCACCCAGTTTGCTCATTGTTTTTGTTGTTGTTGCTGTTTTTTGTTTTTCCAGAGCCACCATGTTAGCCCCTGAGAATCCCCAGATTGCACGGGAACAAGGTTGTGGAGAGGAGGGTAGGCTGTTCCTGGAGTCTCTTAAGTCTCTGCACCTCCTTATTTTGGCACTGTGCATCAGCATCCTTTCCCCAAAGTATTTGAAGTTAGTTTTAAATACTCTGTTTGCTTTTTCTAGTTAAACCCTGTCCCTGAGGCCCCCACCCCAATGTTTGGAAACAACTTACTAGAATGTTTCAGTATTTTCACTGAAGATTGTGGTACTTCTGTACTTGTTTAAGGCCAGAGCTCATTCTTTCAAACTAAAGAGCCTTAATCTTTATGTTGGAACACCAAACACATGTTTGTGCACAGCTGTGGGGCCCTTCCCAGGAGGGCTGTGGACACCAATTGTATGGACTTCTGCTGCCCTAAGGTAACTTACCTAAGATGAAAATGTAAACATTTATTTTCTTATATTTTTATTATAAGATGTCTTATGTTTCATGCTTAATTTCTAGAAAGTGCCAGAAAAAAAATCTGTATCACCTATTTTTATTTTATGTACAATGATTTACACTCTCACTTTGAAAAGATATCATGAAGCACATAAACTAGATAATTAAAAGTAGCTCTTATTCTTTTGTTTTTTAACAAGTTTTAAAACATTGAAGGTTTTTAAGACTCAACTTTTTCAAATGGTACTTGGAATAATGGGTTCAAAATAACTAGACTACTAGGGGTACAGATTCAGAATGCATAAATAACCATTTTCAGTGGTTGTGGTGGGCAATATTGAAATGTTTGGAATGGTAAAAATAGAATAAAATATGCCTAATGAATAATGTACCTCCTAAGAGCATCATACTTATCATTAAACTTTCCTTTTTTTTCTTTAAGAAAACAGCAGTGACTTCTGTAGTCCACTGCTTGTCCATGAAAATTGCCTACTGGAAGTTTTCTTCATTTTATAAAATCAGTGCTAAAGTACCTTAGATGAAGAGCTTGGCACGATATGAGCTTAATCATCTTTTTAGAGCTTAGAAGGCCAACATTGGAAACTTGTTCACTTTTCATTTTAAAAAAGAGCCTCATTGATGTGCCACTCTGAAGTATGTGCTATGGAAAGTATTTCCTGTACTGATAAGAAAAACAAAATGAGGTCATTCTCCTCTCCCACTGTGGTATCTGTGACTTTGATGATGAGTAATCTTGCTGTCTCCTCTCCTTACCAACTGGGAGGAGGAAACATCTTGTAAGTGGCAGAGACCAGCTTGCTGGCACATCTTCCGATTCCTGTATGTGCATCAGGTCTGTGTCTGCTCTGTACTGCACTTCTGAAGCTGTAAAGTGAACTCTTGGGGTGAGCGGCTGGTTGTCAGGTTTTTTTCAGATTAGTCTCTCTGATGAAGATGCCACGTGCAAAGGCACAATCACTGTTGATTAGAAAGTAATGGGAGAATACCTTTGGCTCCTCTGAGAGGAGTTTTATCAGAAAAGTGCAGGGTACTTCCTCTCTGAGTCCAGATCTTTCATAAGTACTGCTTTACCTGCTAGTTCTCACTGCTTGGTAGTAACGAGTTTGACCCAACAACCTCTTAAGTCACAAGGTTCCCTTACTGTGTGGTGATAATCAGGTCACAGGGTTCACCTAGCAGTGTGCATGGCTGGCACTGTCCTCCATGGGCACCTTACAACCAAACATTTTTTCATTTCATTCAAAACTCTTACTTAATACTAGGGAAGTAGGCATGCTCTCTATAGTATAAAACGTTTTCTTTAGAGAGAAGTTCATTATAAGCTGAGCATGTCATCTTAAACTCTCGTCAGAATCTCTGCCAGAAGTTTTCAAATATAGATTATACACTTGAATTGTAAAATATGCACTAAACTCTCTCTCCTAGTTTGAGAACCAACAGAATAATTAAGTTGTAATAGAAAATATTGTGTTCTTTAAAGGGAACTATAATGCCCTCCAGCAAAAATTCCAAAGAAGAAATAGTCTTCAAGGAGTGGAGGAGGGAGAGCAGAGTAAACTTTAGGAAGGCAGCTCTGTTCTTTACAGTGTTGGCTATGTTATGGAAGAATTGATATATCATCATTTTGAGTTTAGTATACAGCTTTTCATAACTTTCATCCAGTTTTCTTTCTTTAAAATCTGTATACACACACACATACCCTATGTATATATGAGTTGGACAGAATTCTGTAGCTCTTCTTTCAAAGTTTAATTTTGTTCTGATTGTCAAATATATGAAAGGCATTTATTGAAAAGAGAATTTACTGTATTCTTTAAATTTACTATTGGAATCATAGTATGCACTCACTAATAATAACCTACATTGTGTGAAGTTATATTAAAAGATAAAAGAAAATCTTGGGAATTTTTAATTTTTTTCATTTTTTTTACAACTTTTCATTATTTTCTTGTACAAAGAATCTGCCATGTAAGGAAATTTCCATTCTATAAATTGGAACTTCACATCTAGCTCAGTCAGAAGTAGCTTTGTGTTCAGATATTTTGCAAGTGTTTCTCAGGTTTCTTTTAGTATTTTCAAAATAGTGTTATCAGAAAAGGACAACCTGTTATATGTGAAATAAAGACAGATGTGAAAAAACCTACACAAATGTAACCCTCACATGTATTGGCTACATGTATTTTTCTAATGTCCTGATCTAAACTACATCAGTAAGTCCGTTAAAGCTTTTAAAGATACCAATATTGTTTGTGGGGAAAAGGTTAGTCACTGATTTCTGCCCTCAGAATCCCAGAGTCAATTCTAACTAGGTACTAAATTTATACTAGGTAGTCAGAGAACTAAATATGTTGCTATATTTTTCTTATTTGATTTTCATTTTTATAATTAGAGCATTTCCTTAACCTTAACCAGTAATAAATGATATATTCACATGCTTGTATACATATGTACATATCGAATGGAAGAACTCTGCCACCTAGTTAAGTAAGCTAAGTTCTAATCCATACTTAGAATATGTATCCTTACTAGAATGATGAACTTTTATGAAAGGCAAAATTAAAAGAAGCAGTTCTCCAACAGTTTTCATTTAACAATTAAGGGAAAATCATTTGATTTGTCTATCGAATACAGTCAGATTATACATACAGGCTATAATCATCCTGCTTGAAAACAATAGTAGTTTAAAGTAGTTTTGTTATACCTGTGACTCACTTACATATTCAACCTGAAAGAAGGAAATTAAATAGGTGTACTTCTCATAAAAGTGTTGAAGAAGAAATTTGGCCCAAAGCAAACAAGCAAGTAACCCTGGGCCAGGATGCAGAGCTAGCAAGGTGACCCAGAGAGCACTAGTAGAGCCCAGTTTTCGTCATGGCAATCTGCTTTTATTCTCTTTTTTAAAAGTGAGGTTTCCTGGCAGAATCAGCAGGTCTATGATTTCCTATGCTGATGCTCTGGCTGCACTAGAGAGCTCCAGTTCAACGCTGAGCTGGGATTTTGTAAATGAGTACATGAAATTTTTTTTCCAAGATTCCTTGTAATAGTTACTGTGAGTCTGTTGCATTCTCATGATGCCATTCTTCCAAAAGTATTGATTTCTGGTACCCAGCCAGCCTGGCTGGGGCCTGGGGAAGCACAGTAGGTACTGATGGTTATTTCCTGGAAATCTTGACAGGCGTATTGTACTGTGTAATTGGGAAAAGTTAAAGTGTAATGTTTGCTATTAGTAAGTGACTGGTGTGAAAATAGAAGCGTATCTACAATATCAAATGTGGCTTTATTTGCATTGAAATAGAAATTCTTTATCTTGTGGTATTTTCTTGCTTTATATTGTATACATTATTCCTGAGAGTAGCATTTGCCAGATTGAAAACACTTAGATCAGTCCAGACCCCATAGTATGTTAGAATCTTTGTCTGGAAGTATCAAATTAGATTTTAAAACCATGGTCCAGAAGAGAATGGTTTTATTCTACTGATCATTTTAAGTCTGTTTACATCTAGCCTCTAAATATTTGTAATATATTTCCTTGTTTTTCAAGTTCTTCTTTTGGGACATAATAGTTTTAAGACCACTTGATATAAGATGAAATAAAAAATGCAGTTTTGCTATAAACATAATTATTTTAAAGTATCCAATTTGGTATTCATTTGTCTTTATACAGAAAGATTTTTCTTTGCTTGCCACTTACATACTACAGTATTTTTCAAAACTGCATTGGTACTGATTGTATCCTATCTCATGTATAATGACTTGTAAAGGTTGTTGATTGTCATTCTTCACACTGAAAGATGTTAGATGGGAAACAGTGAAATGTTTTTATGTTGTGAACTGTTAAATAATTGTGTTGTGTTAACCTGCCTTGTGTTTGCTAGGGCTATTTGAAATACAGCTGGACAAGCAGAAGTTAGTTATAAAATAGGAACTGGCATTTCATTGTGCATGCATTTTTTCCTCATAAAAAATAGTGACCCTCTAAAAGTAGCAGGTCTCTTGAGGGTCCAGATTGGTTTAAAAATACTCTCCTCACTCAAACACAGCCAAAATCGTAGTCATCATCATCATCATCATCATCATCATGACAACAGCACTTTTACTCATTGTCTTAAAAGGCCTCTGTACAAGCTGAGCAGATTGTCCAATTTGTAAAAGAGGGTTTTTTGTTTTTTTTTTTTTTACTTCATAGTTTTTGTTTTGTTTTGTTTTTTGTTTTTGGGTTTTTTTTTTTTTTTGTCGGTCGTGAGGCCTGAACTCTGGGCCTGGGCGCTGTCCCTCAGCTCTTCAGCTTGAGGCGGCACTCTACCACTTGAGCCACAGCATCACTTTCTTCATCATTTTTATAGTGAGAATTTTTTAATCATAGTTTTCTAAATTCAGAAGTGTCTCAGTTTCAACATCTTTTATTTTTCAACTCACTGACTCTAATCCTTTTACAAAGGAAGTTTAAAAAGTATGAGAGCATGAAGCCACTGTTCCTTCATACCTCATTTTGGCTACTCCTCTCCAGGTGGTTCCCTTGTCCCTCAGTTTAGCACTGCTCTGATTTCTTTCCCACCCAACCTCTTCTATCTGTGAGGTACCTGTGTACTATTTACATAGTATAACTTATATAATACATTTATATAATGTATTATTTATACATTTATATAATGTATTATTTACATACCATTATACCTTTCCCTAGAGGCAGCCTACCAGGCAGCATAGAATTGTTCTCCATCATGGTTGGCTCTGCCCAACTCCTGTCTCAGAGGCTACCAGGATAAGACCCCCAGATCCACCTAGGAAAGCAGATGTTCTTGTCACTTGTCATGAGTTTTATGAACCTGTGTACCACACACTCCCTACCTCTTTTGTGAGAATGGTAACACTAATAAGGGGCCATAAATAAGAACTTTCTGAGGAATCAAACTTACAAGTACAGAAATAATGACACCATCTCTTACCAAGAAACAAGTAAGCGCACTGTCCCTCATCAGATTATGTGATTCGCCTAGGGAGAAACAGCCTGGAATGCTACCAGCAAAATGAGGGAAATCATGTTATTTTGAGGAGGAAAACCCTTCTTCTAAGAGCATATCATTTGTAAAGTAAACCTAGAGTAAGATATTTTCTCCCTGTGGCTGTCGCCCTCCCCCTTCCCTGGGAAAAGGTGCTTTTGGTTATGTTCCTTCCAACCAATTGTTCTACTCCCTCAGTGCTCAGGAAAACAGAATGCTCAAGCATCTAAATGTGGAATTGTCAGATACTGGGAATAATTGGCAAACAATATGGGTGCTGGAATGAGAAACCAGGCAGTTTTTAATTACTAGCACAAGTAGGTGATAGAGTAGTGCAGTTTCTCATTTTGTACATACTTAAGGAAACAATGTGTTTAGTTTTAGATTTTTTTATTTAGTTCACTGTAAATCCTCATAGTTAATCTTTGAATGAATATTCTAAAGCATCATTTTTAATTTTTTTATTAAAAAGATCTTATTAAACAGAAAGGATATAGTTACATAAGTCAGGCAGAGTACATTTCCTTTTGGATAATGTTACCTCTTCCCTTGCTCTCTCCCAGTTTTTCCTCCTATCCTACCCACAGGTTGTGTAGTTCATTTTCAATATGATGTCCAGTGAGTGCCATTGCTGCATTTGTTCACCATTTGTCCTAGACAAACAAGCAAAACAAAAAGAAATCAAAAACAGCTAAAAAGAAAAGATTGGGTGTGTTTGCCCTGGGTATGGGGCTGAAACTGTAATGCCTAAATGAGAATCTGTTTTGGTTCCTTCCAGGATATCTTACTGTGACTGCCCTTCTCTATAACAGAGAACGGGCTAGCCTACAGCTTCAAATATCCATTCCCCCAGTCTTGCTTTCCTGGCCTCGCTAGAATGATTGAAGGCTCTGTTCAAGCAGGTGGTCTACCATAACCTAGTCATGAGTGTGAGACATCAAGCCCTTTCCTACCTGCTAAGTGGCAGATGAGAACCTGAAAGTAAAGAGCATTATTTCTGACTAGTGAGGGGTGGAAATAAAATTCAAAATTTAACAAGAAAGATACCTGTTCTTTTTTTTTCCATATATTGATTTCCCAGAATTCCTGGAGCCTACCATTTGGTTTTGTTTGGTTTTAAACTCAATAAGGTTAAAACCAGTTCCCTTTTGTTTTGTTTCTTAAGCTAAAGGAGAAAACTTTTGGCCTTTGACTCCCCACTGAGTAGGGCAGGCTTTCTGTATGACACCAGTATTCTTCCCTGGGTAAAGTGACTTAAATCAAAAGCTGGAGCGAATCTGTAAAGGTGGCTGACATTCCTTTGATGTGTTTCCACATATTTTCCATGTAAAACCACCCATCCCTTCAACTTGCTTGTATCTTTTCACGTTTTAGTTGTCTAATATAAGCTTATTTTTTTTCCTGAAGTTAATCAAGAAATTTAATTCCTATGAGCTGCTCCATAGTTATTTGCCAATATTTTGGAAGCACTTGGTAGAGCTTATATCTTGGGAGAAAGTAATGTTAAAAAGGAAAGAAAGAAAAGAAAGAAAGAAAGAAAAAGAAAAGATGCTTAGAAGGCTAGATAGTTTAAGCTTAAAAACATCCTGGGTTTTTTTCATGTATATTTTCATGCTTCTTCCTTTTTTTAAATTGTACTGGAGTTTGAACTCAGGGCTTCGTGCTTGCTAGGCACTCCACACCCCCCAGCCCTTTTTGCCTTTTTTTTGAGGGTCAGGGGGCTTGAACTCTGGGCCTGGGCACTGTCCCTCAGCTCTTCAGCTCAAGGCTGAGTACTCTACCACTTGAGCCACAGTGCTACTTCCAGCTTTTTTTGTTTATGTGGTACTAAGGCGAACCTAGGGCTTTGTACCTGCGAGGCAAGCACTCTACCACTAAGCCACATTCTTAGCCCCCTTTTTGCTTTTTAGTTATTTTTTTAGAAAGGGTCTGGCATGTCCCTCCCACCCCCAGGGATGATCTCAGACTGTGATCCTCAGACTGTGATGCCTTTTATATAGCTGGAACAACCGGAACACACACCACACCAGGCTTTTTGGTGAGAGGTAGGTTAACTTGTTGCCCAGGGTGGTCTCAAACCAAAATCTACACAATGCTGTCTCCTGAGTAGCTGGAGTTATAGGCATAGACCACCATACATATCTAGCCTTTTCCTTTCTTCCTTTCTTCCTTCTTTTCTGTTGTTTCGAATTTGAGTTCCAACTACACATTTCACTTGGGGTGGGGAGGACATATTTGAAAGGAAATAAGGATTAGAAGCAAAATTTGAACTCAGTGACTTTGGTGACGTCCTTTGTGTCTCCGTTTATGTTTCTGGAAAACATTAGCTCTACTTCTGGTCTATCATTTGCAGGCTTTTAAAGAGTAAACAGTACATGTAGGTGGGAGAAAGTATCTTAAATTGGTAAGTTATTGTTCAGCTATTCTCTTCTTTTTAAACTCAGGAATAAACCTGGCTTATGAATAATATGGCTATTAAAGCGATACTGTGTAGGTGACTAGAAGCATCCTTTCAAAGACATTTCAAGGCATTTAAGTTTGTGTCAACTAAATAAAGAAACTTCCTGAATAAAATTTAAAAAAAAAAATTAAAAGGAAAAAAACCTCTGTCAGCTCTTTCTTGGAGAGTATAGTACTAGACTTTTACCTATCCCCGAGTGTTTGTTTCTTGCCTATAGTATTTCATCAATTTTTATGGGTGAAAAAATGCACATTTTTTAATTTTTCTTGGAAAAGTGAATTGAAGTATTGTGTATTAATAGGACAATTTAGTCTAAAGGGAAGCATTGGTTTTAGAGAGAAGAACAGAGGGTTCATGTCCTGTTCCAGCATTGACTTCATTATGTGATCCTAAAGCAAATGGTTCAACTTCTCTGTGCCTCAGTTTCTCCATATACAAAATGGGGATTATGATACCAACCATTGCCTACCTCATGGGGGGATGGGGACAAACGAGATAATATAGATAAGTGCAAATGCTTTCACCTCTTTGGACAAAAGGTGCTATATAAATTGAAGTTCAATTGTTTTTATTGATCCAGTGATCAGTTATATTTTAGGATTTAGGTAATAGCAATACTATTAGTTATGTTACAAATACATTTCAACTTGATGCATATTTCTAATTCTCTTTCTGTGGCCAGATCTTCATCATTTACCCAGTAATGGTACCAAGGAACTGAAAATAGGTCTTGTTTTCTGTATTTCTCACAGTTATATTGCAATTACGAATATTTAGAAAAAACTACCGTCGTAATGTCTTATAGTTTACTTGCAATGAACCTTATTTGAATCGTATATTAAAAGTGTAATTACATGTAAATAGAAGGTACGTTGTAATTAAAGGCTCTTAGCAAATTGTCTTTGTTCTTTTTTTCCTTATAATAAAGGTCAGTTTTATATGAAAGTGTGTTAAAATTCATTTGGTATTTGGGAAGGTCAAAATTTTTCTAATTTATATACCCTTAGTACATAGCCAGGCTTGCAAATTCTACTGGCTGATGATCATACCAGCAGTGGTTAGAATCAGAAACTCTGCAGAAAAGAACCCACACTTGAATCCAGCTCCATGATGACATTGAGGAAGCTGCTGGACTGTTTTGTATCCATTACACATTA